CCGACCAATCACATCGTTTCACTTGAACATCAGAGGTCAATCATGTAACTTTACTATGAAATTTTTCACTTTTCATTTTTCACTTTTATTTTTCATTTTTTTACACCTTGACATTTCACGTGAAACTTTTTACGTACAGCGATAATATTATATACAATTGGTTATTAAAAGATGTATATAATATTGTACCAATAAAATAATTTTTATTAGCTATAAAACCTATGAAACTATGTTTCATGATTTCACTTTCCACGCATCCAAGCTACATACATAATCGCTGTACGTGAAAAGTTTCACGTGAAATGTCAAGGTGTGAAAAATGAAAAGTAAAAGTGAAAAATGAAAAGTGAAAAATTTCACGTAAAGTATGATTGACCCCTAGATACACAGATTATAAAAACCAATCACAAATTAATTTCTGTTAGAGAATACAACAGAAACCCTAATCAGCAATGGGTTGTATTAATTACGCATTTCTCGAAATTCCGCGAAATACGCTCTATGTGAAAGAAGGCTTTCAGAATGGCGTAACGTGTTTTAATAAAATACTAGAATACACAGATTACGCTTACGCAAGTTAATACGCCGCATGTGACGGCATCTTAAGGATCCAGGCTTAAGACAGGAGCACACACTTTTGCATAATGTATTAGTGTCCACAATAAGTATTTAATCTTTAAGTCGTAAGAAATTGACCAATCATAGTCGATTATTCTTTTCATATTCGATTATAATTGGTCAATTTCTTACTTCTTAAAGCTTAAATCACCTATTGTGGACCGACACTAAGAAAATGAACCAATCAGAATCTTTCATTTCCATTAGAAAGTAAAAATGGAAGACTATGATTGGTTCATTTTCTTATGGGTTATGCATTATGCGTTATGCAGAAGTGTATACTGCGGCCCTTAGGATCTATTCAGACAAACTTGCATAGTAGTATAATCATGTGCATAAAGAAAATTATCCAATCGTATTTCTATCAAAATCTACGATCAATGTAACATTATAAATACTTCGAAGCGTTTGATTGTCCAATCAAAACAAAGCATTTTACTAATGCGTCAATCAAAAAATGCTTTAAAGCATTTGTAGTAAGCCCTTGACCGTACCCTATATCTATAATCGAGCTTGAATGCATCTATTCTCTCAGCCAATCAGTAAAACCGACCGTGACGAACAACAAACGACAACTATTCCACCAGTACACGCGGCGTCATTAACGTTTTCCGTATCCGGTTTCGCGTGAGATCGCTGAATTGCGGTATTTGCGCATTCGTTATACACTTCGGTGAAGTGACCTAGTGTGAAAACATAAATAGTAGAAATACGCAAATAACGCGGATAAGCTTCGGAAGCATAGCTCTGTAATCAACGGTAAATTCGTCATATCTGTACATCAGAATTCTCAATTATTATTTTTAAAAGTGCTAAATCTAGATTGTGTGTCCTTCAAATCGTTAATATATGTGATTTTAAATGCCTGAAGATATATGTCAATTTTTTTTCTTATCGCTGAATAGAAGAATTTTATTATGCGAAAATGACACTTGATTAAGTTTAATTGAATTCACAGAGTACTTAATAAAGATCTGTTTGCAGGCAACATGGAGATGCCTATATTTAATGAGAAAGTCGCGCAACATTTGAAAACATTTGCTCGGGAATGTATAAATGATCCATCTCTCTTGCACGATCCGAAGTTATCTTTTATTAAGGAGTTAATAGAACATTATGGCGGCAAAGTGCCAGAAGCTAAAACCAATGATTCATCAAGTGCCAAGACAGAATTTAAAAGTAAACCTGAAGAACCAGAACCTGAATCAGAATCTGAGAGTGAAGAGAGCGACTTAGAGCTGGATATGACTGGTGTAATCGGTTTGTTTATTTTCTCTAAGTTATTTATATATTTTTTATATTACTTTGATAAACGTAATTTTTTCTTTTCTCAGAACCAGACCAAGATGCTCCACAAAAAATGGGAAATCTGACTTTGCAGCCAACAGAGGATGAAATAGCGGAGTCTCAGGAAAAAAGATCCGAAGCAGTTTCGGCATTTGTGGAAAAAGATTATGAAAAAGCTATACAACTTTATACAGAGGCTATTGTATTAAATCCTCAAGCAGCCTTATTGTATGCCAAACGTGGTCAAGTTTTCTTATTATTAAACAAGCCAAATGCTTGTATTCGCGACTGTAACCGTGCTATAGAATTAAATCCAGATAGTGCAGCGGCTCATAAATTCAGGGGAAGAGCCTATCATTTGCTTGGGAAGTTTGAGGAAGCTGTGAACGACTTGAGATTGGCTTGCAAACTGGATTTCGATGAGCAAGCAGATGAATGGTTACGCGAAACTACACCTAATGTAAGTACCTTCTTATTTTTTGCATGAAAAATTAATTATATTTTGCATGAATATATTCTGTTTTGCATGAACTCATAACGTTATCTTAGAAAACAATATTGAAATAGTGGATATTTAAACAATAATTACATTACAAAAATAAACAAAAATTTATAAGTCTATAATATCATTTAGTGAAATAGTAACAAAAATAATATTTTTATACAATTATTATTAAACGGATGTATATTTTAATATGAATACAACATTTATAGGCATGAATTTTGCATTGATTAATTTATAACTCATAATTTATGTTTAGCATATAATTATTGTTTTATATATCAGAAACAAATTGTCCTTTAAGGAGATATTTTTGCAAAATCTATATTTTTGCCTTCTCATTTCTATTAAGATAAATTAATACATATGTTTATCAATTAACCTTTATAAATGGGGAATAATATATTTAAGTATGCTATGATAGCTATGATGTATACACAAAAAAGCAATCGTGACACACTTCTTATTTAAAACTACACTTTGCCCTAAAGTATATAATAAATTATACTAATACATTTTTTCCATTTTGTATATATGTATATATACATATATAATAAATCCTATACATAGAGTTATACTTCAGCTCAGATATGTATACACTGTGTGTCAATATATTAAAACCTTATTCTAACTAAAGAAGTAGATGTCTTGATGATGTATGTCTATAATATTAAATTTACTTGTGAAACATAATCTTTATATAGAATAACAGCGATGCAACAATAGCAACAATAGTAATAATAATAATAATAATAATAATAATATCAATACATATTTAGACCATAAATGATTGTGTTTATATCATTATTTCTCGTAAATAACAAAGCCTGCTTCACTGGCTCGCAATTTAATACCTGAATCACTTGCAATGTCTTTAAAGCATTCGAGTTTTGAAAAACCTAATGTGCATATATATGCACTGAAAATATCTTATTTGGTTTATAATTATGATTTTCAATTTAAAGTCATGGATATTAATATAATTTAATTATTATATAACAGATTGTTTAAAATTAATAAAATTATATTTGAAATAGAGAGAAATTGAAACAATATAAAGTCGAGAATTGACTTCTCAGACAAAAAGATTTTTGTCTGAAAAGTCAATTCTAATTTAAATTTTGCGATCTAAAGATCATTAAAATTTAAATGTTTAAGAATTAAAAGCTCTAAAAGAATAAGGATCATTGGCAAATCCAAAAAATTAAACAACTGAGAATTTGAAAAACTATAAATTTTAACATTTAAGATGCAGTTTATTTAAAAGATTTATGTCTAAAAAGGAAATTTATATTTTTTCTGTCTAACGCGAACTAGAAGGAAGCCTAAATTGTTGATAAAAAGAACACCGCGATTTTCGTCTCACACGTTAACTGAGCAACGCGTGAGAGATCAATATATCTTCAATTATTTAATTACACATTTTAATAAGAACACAAAATCAGCTTATACAAGGTATTCCACAAAAGCCACAAGAAGAGATCATCTTATCTCTTTTTCGCAATGGAAATATTTCGGTATAATTAGTTTAATTTCCCCGGTACAGAGGAATTGGCGGATGAAATCGTTGCTCAACGTTACATCGATTCTGGAGAGTCTATCTTTTTCTGAGATAAGTTATCAGCAGACACCGATTCGTCGCGAGAATTTAAAAATTCGGTGCAACGGTGGCTTAATTTACGTTTTCGAGAGCTCGAAAAATTAATCTTGGAATTAAAATAGAATTTTTTCAATTTTGAAATTTATTTTTCTAAAATAAAGTAAAATAGAGAAAAATAGAGTCAATCCTAAAATGAAATTTTTTAAAATTAAGGTAAAATTTGAATAAATTAAAAATTTGAAATTTATAATATTTATAATATAATTTTAATTTTTTAATTTTCTGTTAAAAGTAGAGAAAAGTGTAAGAGTTAATCCTAAATTTTAATATTAGAGTTCCTAAACTAAAAATTTATTTCAAATCTTGAAACTAAATTCTAATCTTCTTTCTTAAATTTTGATTAATTTTTTTGTCGAGTGCCTAGAAAAGTGAGGTAAGCGACTGTCGCACCGAAGCCTCAGATTTTCATTGAGAGGAACCAATATCTGAACACATAAATTCAAAGGAAACTCTCATTGTTCGCTTTTGGATCGGAATGGTAGCACTCGCATTGTTTTACCAGACACAAGTAATACACTTGTTCTTCTTCTGCAACCGAGGAAGTGTCCCGACCACTGATATCACACTCCATTGTGCTCACATTTTGCACACTCTGTCATGAGGGACGAGGCTAAACTATTCGGATCTAAAAATACATGGCGTTACTCGCCCGCTCAAACGATGATACTCCAATTTTTTTTATACTTTGATACCTCCTGTCCTTTCGCTCCTATTGTTTTCGCGACTGTCAGCTTCTTTGTAAGCCGACTTCCTTATCGGACTTCGTTATCGGAGCATCTCGAATACAATTCGCGTAGATCATTCGCTGCGATCTAGCTGCCTGTATTTCAGGAAGAAAATCCTTGGTACTATCTCAAATATCAGACTATGTCCTTCAGCTCATTCTTTAAAGTGCCAAGGCATTTCAGTTACAAGCTAAGCCTTTCTTCTTTCTCTTCAGAGGTAACCGTCGCCGCTTTTGTCGCCAGTCCGTATTTTACATGGGTATCGAGAGCTCCGTTCCGGAACGCGGACACGCACTCAACTCGGTGGGCTGTTGCCTTCACTCTCGTGTAATACCGCCTCTGCTGCTTTCTTATAGTTGCCCACTAGCTCGGGTAGATCGTAAGCAATGGCCACATCGAGCCTGTTAATCGGACAGCCGCGGAAGTACGTGCACGTAGAGCTGAGCAGCGGGAAATCGTAGAGCGGATTTAGCCGAAAGAAGTCGCGATAAACATCCGGATCCGGTAGGTCGTAGCGTGATATATTAGTCAGAGTACTAAGGCCCTCGTAGATATGATAATCCTGTGGATTCTCAATAATCTTGTCGCTGATCTCTCGCTTGTTGGCGAAGAACGTCTTGTGATTGTAATACGTTGTCAAGTAGCAATCCACCATTTTAGCATGATTGCGCACTCGTACCTAGAATTTGATAGAGATCAAACGAATCAAATGAATTTTTACTAGAATAGTTGTATTTGGTACATTTCTCAGATTATTTTTGAATAACCCTATCATTGATTTTTTTATATCATTTTCTCGAAAAAAAAGACGAGTCGCTCGTTAGATAATGAGTAACTCTTGTATATGTATATATGAACTTACGGCGAATCTTCTGGCACTCGCTATCTTGTGTTCGACTCTCTTGTTTATTGCGGAACGTAGATCGCGAAGGAATGCGCGTTCTTGCGCGTACAACAATCTAGTAGGTGCACCAGCCTCGTAGGGTAACGACCATAATGACGTGGAGTACATTATTGGTGGTTCTGCGCTCGACATAAGCGGCGATATATTCCAGATTAGGGCACCTTGCACCCTCATGAGTTCCTCGGGTTTCACCTGGTCGGCTTTGTTGAGGATAATGCGAGTCTATTTGAAAGTAATTATATTTATTAAGCAAGTTTTGAAGTAATAATTTAAAGAAGGGAGGGTGTGCGTCACGGCGGGGCCCGACCACGAACCAGTCGTGAAAACTCGTAATTATTTTTGCGAAAAAATACCACCTCAGCCAGGAATCGAACCTGGATCTCCTGCTTACCGGGCAGGCATCTTATCCTTTCGACTACCGAGGCATGTGATGATATTTATCGCAAATAACGTGTTTAGAATAACACGTCAACAATACAATGATACATATATATATATATATATATATAAGTCTCTTATAGCTGCCAATAGTTGCTATTTTATTCCAATATTTTTGTCAACTTGTTCACCTGATATTCTCTCCTTTTAACTGGTCAAGAATAGCCTCAGTTTCGGGTCCGACATCCAATTTGGCGGGATCGTAAACCAAAAATATTATGTCCGCCCGATCGATGAACCATTGACACGCATCGTTAAAGGGAAATAAGCGTTGAACTTGTTTTCGAATCTCTAAAATACCTGGAATCTCGACGATGTTCACCTGATAACATGCCAGATAATTAATATATGATATTTTATCATGATCTCACGTAAATTATTTTTGATTATTAATATTGATTATAATCTTACTTTTTCTCCTTTCTATTACCTCTTAGAATCTAAATTAGAAAACATTTTATGTGCGATTTTATTTAAATTTAATCGTAAGTTAAAATTTTATCTTAGGTTTTTTAATTTTAATGAAGAATAATGCAAAATTTTATATTAAAATATTCTCAAATTTTATTTCTTGTAAAAATTCTTCATTCTTCAAAGAAATTATTAAAAAATCAAAATCATTTATCCATATATTCATACATATAATGAATATTTATAAAAGGATTATCGTTTGTGATCGCTTACCTTTTCCAGTAACTTGTTATCAAGTCGCAGGCCCCTAAGACGATCCAACAAGCCCTGTCCAAACTTCTGCAGTCCCGAAAAAGTCCAGTCGGCGGCCAATTGAGTGCCATCGAGAACCTCCTCCTCCTCACCATGCATTATTATGTTGAAGTACGCTGGTGACGGCTCGGCTCCTGTGTCATTTTTTCCATTTGGCGATTTGCAATGCTCTTCTAAGCACTCTCTCAAACCACCTAAACACTCTCTGTATATTCATGCTTCTAGCATGCCATCTACTAGCAGTTTTTACTACTTTATCAGCGCAAAGCCAAAGAAGGAAGTTTAAAGAAGATTGTGTTCCCCTTTTAATTAATTAATACCCACCTGTCCTCAATGACATTGGTTTGTATTCGATGTCGAGAAGATAATTAATGATGGACGATTTTCCGCCGCTCCACGGTCCCATAAAAAGCACTAGTGGCTTGGAAAATATTTCGGGATCTAACAGAAAATAGAATAACAATAATAGATTAATGATTGCATACCTTAAATTAAAAGATTTTTTTTTATTTTGCCTTAATATTTGAACGAAACGATAAATGAATTAAACGATAACCATTAATTATTTTTAAAAATTTTATAACATTTATAGTTTACTCACCTCCGAAATGCCTGTTACTCAAGTCTCTATACTTGTACATAGTTTCTAACGGCTTTATAGCGTTATCGTAAAGTCTTTTCAAATCCCTAAGAATAATGTCAGCCTCTTTTTGTATAGCTCGTTCCTTTTTCTCATTTTCTTCATCCAATTTTAGCAATTGATTAATGTGATCCCTGGGTCGAAGATTCTCCGGGATTTTGATTTCTTGAATCAAATCCTCTTCTGGAGTAGGTTCCTGTTCTTCCTCGCTGACAGCTGACAATATAGGATTGTATCATTAGTGATTAACTGTACTACATTAATTACTTTACTTTAATAACATGAAATGAAAATAATTATTATACGTAATTATATTATAAGTAAAAATAGAATTATAAAAATAGATTTTATACGATCTTGAAACATTATATTTTTAAGAACAATCTTTATTGGAAAGATCTGTTTACCTTCTTCTGATTTATCGTCTGTTTCAGTATCTTCTTTACCAGCTTCTCGTCTGCCACGCGATTTTATATCCTCTTCTTCTGATTTTCCCTCCTCTTCCGCAGATTTTGCTTCGTCCTTACATTCCGCGTCACTTTCCTCACATTTTGTTTCGATTTCCTCGGATTTCGTTTCTTCTTCCGCAGATTTTGTTTCTTCTTCATCCTTCTCCGCAGATTTCATTTCTTCTTCTTTCTCCTCAGATTTCGTGTCTTCTTCAGCTGATTTTTCTTCTTCCCCTTCAGTAAACTTTGTTTCTGCTTCTTCCTCTTCTTCCGATTTTGTTTCTTCCTCTACATCTTCGGAATCTGTCGCCCCGACATCTTCTGCGCTTTCCTTTTCTTTTTCTTCATCCTCAGCTTCAGCGCTCTCATCCTGCGTTTCTTCTTTAGTATCATCTTTCTCATCTTCACTACTACTTGCCTGATCTTCGATCGATTCGATGTCCTCTTCAGTTTTACTATCAGTTTCTTCCTCTTTATCAGAGTCTTCTTCAACACCAGCTTCCTGAGCCTCCGCTTCCTCTTTAGATTCGTCTTCTACTTCTTCAGTGGCTTCTCTGGACGTCTCTTGCTCTTCGTCTTCAGCTTTCGATTCTTCGATTTCATCTTTTTCTTCTTCGGATTTTGCTTCGTCATCTATTTTTTCCTCTTCAGATTTTTCGTCTTCTTTTGTTTCTTCGTCGGATTTTTCTTCGTCAAGCTTTTCTTCTTCGATTTTCATTTCTTCACTTTCAGTCACTTTTTCGGAAGAGTCGATTTGTTCTTCATCGCTTTCAGTTACCTCAGCGGACGCTCCCTCTGATTCTTTTGCTTCTTCTAAACAATATTAGTATTTCTTTTTTTATATCCATTTGCATTTTTAACAAATATGAAAATGTCAATATTTATTTGAAACATCAGTGATTATTAATTTTACCTTCTTGAGCTTCAGCACTTTCATCAGTCACGACTTCTTCACTTTGTTCATCTTCTTCTTTTTCTTTTTCTATCCTTTCTTCGCTAACGTCGGCCTGCTCTTCGGTTTCTTCCTTGCTTTCGTCAGAAGCTGTTTCTATATTTTCATCTACCGATTCCTCTTCAGCCTTATCCTCTTCTTTCGAAACATCGTCTGCTGCCTCACCAGTCTATACGAATAAATTTTTGCAAAATTTAGCAAAATTCTTTTGAAGTATTCCGCATATTGTAAATTAACTATTATTATATAAACAAATTAATAAAAGCTTACTTCCTCGCTCGCAGGTAATGCTTCCTCATCTTTCTCTTGGTCGATCTCGATTCCGACCTCTGCACTGGTCTGGTCCAAAGATCCTTCAAACGAAATATTCTAGAAATCGTTGTGTTCCAGTTGAGTATTCACCATCATCTAGTATTACCTGTGCCGAGATCCTTGAGCGCCTTCTCGATATACGGTCGACATAGGTCCTCGGATGGTACCTGTTCTGGCTCGTCTTCGCATTGCACTCCTAAAGTGTTATTTCAACATTTAACATTTTATGTGTTAAAGAAAACCGTTTTATGTTTTGTAATTTCTATTGTATCAGATAAATGATGAAAAGATGGGTCGTTTAAACAAAACAGGAGATTTAGTGTGAATAATAAATTTTTTTCAAATATTCTAAATATTTACGATGAAGATTTTTTTATACTAATTATTTTAATTTATTACTAAAATTTACAACATTTATTATTGAGATATGCAAAAATTCTAATCTAAGATTTATTTCAAGTTTTTGCAGGATTTAGCACATTTATAATTTATTCTCAAAATTATTAGCATATTAAATAATTTTCATCGATATATGTTGTATTTATTAAAAGGACAGTTACATATCATCGTTTAGGTCCGACATAATTGAGTTCAAGTTCATCCTTCGACGATTCATTCCGCGTCTGATTAGTTCACGATATCGGATAGCGAATGTATTTGACATACTAGAAGTCTCGCATACGTCGGCAATATATTTACATTGTTCGCCGTTTCGCCGTGCTCCCGGCTGCCAGAAATTTTCGGCTGAGAGAATTCTCGTTGCGCGCGGTAACGTAGCCGTGAGCCAAAAGAAATCGCACGCGATATTAGATAACTTATTGCACAGGGAAACGGAGCTTCGGCGACGGTGAGTTTAACGCCACGCGACCACCAACCCGAAATATCTGACCCAAGTGACGCAAGAACCTGTCAAAGTCATTACGCACGTTCTGGCCGAGCGGGCCGTGCGCGTGTTCACGCCTGGTGACAGGTGTTCAGGAACACCTAGCGCGACTTGTCATCCGACATGTCTGATGAAAGTTTGCATTGCCGCGTCGAGTGCGTTTCTTTTACAAACAGACGTAGAATTTTTTAAACGAAACTGTTTCTCAATAATAGAATCGGATCTTAGCAACTGTTTTAACGTTGAAATAATCGTTGAAAGTTGATTGAGAATGCAATATTTTCATCCTGATGTCTTACTTCAATTAACTTATGTCTTTGCTTGATTTATCAGAATATATCCTTATATCTTAAATTTTATAAGAAATTGCTTTTGTGTGTAGAAAAAATATTTGCATGATATGCGTATTAATAATAATTTACTTGCGACGGGATCTAATTTAATAGGCGCATAAATCGGCGTTACCAATACGAAACGCAGAAACGGCGGAATTTCCACCGAAGAAAATGTCGATATCATCTTTCTAGGCGGTACCTGGGACGTGGCCGGCTTCTAAGTTTAGCGACGGGTAGGCGGCTTTGAGCCGAGCAACACTCGGAAATATTTATATATTAGGCGAGCGAATAGTATTTTTATCACCTCTTCCTGCGAGAAAAAAAATCACGAGTTGATTAAACTGTCCTTTCTATTGTCTGAACGAAATTTATTAATAGCACATATCCATAATTGATCAATGTATGCATGGACTTTCATAAGGAGGAATTATAATATTAAAATTTTTTATCACAATGTCAAATCAATCTTGAGCCTAGACAACAGGACAAATGTTTTATAAAGTATATACTTGCAACGTTTGTGATTTTTGATTGAAATGGTTGTAATTTCTCGAATAGATAACATGATATATGTTTTAAAAGACAAATTATAATTAAATAATTTGATGAGACGGTATGTAAAACAATAAGACCCATGAGCTTGCCAGTATAATGTTGCTTGAACTTAAACAGCATCAGTAGTATCTCAGACTCATTGTAGAATCATTGTAGTTTACGAGTTCACGTGATCGTACGTAAACACGAGAAGTTCCGTTTCGTAGGATAGTCTTACTATATATCTTTGTTATATCACATACCGCAATTTCTGGCACAAGGTTCCAGTTCTTGTAGCTTCTCTGAGAAATGAGATAGATCATTTCTTGGATTTAATCAAACCAAGCTCTTTTATTAATTTTCCATTAAATCGTCAAGCCATTTTTTTCTCTCACCACATAATGTTACATGACAAATATGTTGAAATCTCTCTTATATATAACATTTCAATTGAATAATATGACAATAATGTGATTTCCAATACTTTGATTTAAAATATCATATTGTGATTTAAATGCAGAAGGTTTAAATGATTTAATGCCATGAAGACTTAAGGTTTCATCCCCGAGTTAGTTTAATTTGTAAAACTGAAATCATCTCTCTTGAGAATTCAGATTCAAATTTTATTCCAAGTTATTATCGAGCGTATGTTATCGAAAAATTAATTGTTATTGAAGAATCGTTTTCTTAGTGACAAAATTTGCGCCTCCTGTTGGTTTTCAAAGTAATGCGATAATATGAGCAATTTTTGAGTTACGAATGATAGAAGGAGACGCACGCAGCTGTCGTTTGGCAAGCGCAGCTGCGCCGGATAAAGATAGAATCCCGAGTCTTGTTCCATAGTCTACTACGATATGTATAGCTTTTTGCCGCACTCTCACTGACAAATTTTTGTAATCGTCATCGTAAAACTTGATACCAAATCTAAAATTTGGCATCGAGATAAGCCTTTATTAACATAATCATCCTTATAAAGTAATCTTATTTCTTAGTGAAAGATCACTTAGTAACGCGACTAGAAGAGCGCACATTCGATTTGTCATAAATATCAAAGCTTGCAATAGCAATTAAATTTGTTTAGATTTATACGATTCATCATTTAGTTATAAAAAAATTGAGAATGGAATTTATAAAGTCACATAATTGAAACAATTCATTTTCTGAAGACTTATAACGATGCTGGCACAGATTTATGCGGTTTCTTATGTAATTATCGTGCAGGTTGATGACAGCCAACTCCCATCGATTCCTAAAATAACAAATCCTTGAATCGACGATTTTTTATGTAAACTCTAAAATAAGGCATTGGGTGTCTCTTCAACCATCAATAATTTAAATTGTTTAATTATTGCGGAAACTAAAACATTTTTCCGAAGTAGAGGATATTTAAAATCTATTTAATTATTATCTAATTATATTTAATTATTAATTAGCAATTTATAAAAAATATGAAATATTTTTCAAAATAACCAAAGTTCATCTAATTCTAATCGCATTTAATGGTTTATTTAATTATTTGAGTATCACGCGGTACAGTCACAATATTTCTAATGTTTATCGTAAAAACATTTTCGTAGTGATGTAGTAAATTTAATCGATCATGCATGCTCGGATTTTATCACAGTGCATCGTTAAAACTTGTGTCAAATTATGAATTAGAAATTCTAAATTATGAACCGAGGATTATTAAATTTGATCAATTATAGCAAAAAAATTAAAATTAAAATTATTTGATTGATTGAACGTTAATCTTTAATTTGTAATCCGTAATCTTTAATTCGTAGTCTAACAGGCTTTAACGTTAAACTCGAAACAGATTTATTAAATTGAAACTTTATTTTCTTAATTTTTGCTGTAATATTTTTATAAAAAAATTAATAAAATGTGCAAATAAAACATCACAATCGTATTGCTTGATGCTTTTTAATATGAAATAAGAAAAGCGCTGTCATATCGCTTGGCACTTTCGACATGAAACGAGAGAACCGCGATCGCATCGCTTGGCACTTTTCAACCCTATTTCTACAAATATCCATAGCACTCAAATAGCGGTGAAATTACATGATAAAATGATGAAAAATTGAAAAGGTGAACCACACAGTAAACATAATTCTAGATTAATTCTGTTTTTGTCAAGATTGTAGAGTTATATTAATTTAGAATCGCTAACGAGAGCCTTAATAAATTGATAGCAAGACATATTAAATTATGGCTGAATCATCAGTGAATCTACGTAAAGATGAGCTATAGGGACCGATGACACGTACTAATAATTTTACATAACATTGACCTTCGTCAATCAATCGTCATACTTTCGTCGTTTCGATTTTATTGTTATGATTGATATCAATCGAAGAAGCTGTCTTTTTCACGTTTCTCCTTGTTACTGCAATTCTGCCTCGAATAGGTTTTGATATCACACCTATTAAGTTTAAGATCTAATTTTAATGTCTAAGTTATAACAATCTAGCTATATCACAATCAGGATAAATTCTTAATATTTTACATCGATGACGAGACTTTAATAAAGAATAAAGAAAGAAGCGACTATGTGAATGAATTGCGAAGAAATTCCGTAGCATGCCCCGAGATACACTCGGCGATCGAACGAGTTGGAAACTTTGAATCTATCGACTATGGTGAGATCAACCATTGAACAATTCTATCGACTATGGTGAGATCAAGTCAGTGAAATCGTGCGATGTCGCACGAGATGCACTGGCCGTGCACGAGAAGAGAATCACGTTCGCAAGATCCAGCTCGCACATGCGATCCGTTCTGTAAGATGGGATTAAGGTTTATCTGCACGAGTTGGTCATCTGATGGGGATTTTACTGACCTCGGAAGGTAACGGCTAGGAGGCCCAGGAGGAGGCCCACAACGAGCGCGGGTCTCATCCGCGTCACCCGTCATCTCGTCACACTAGACACTACGCGATCGGCCGGGGCCAGGGCTGGCACACAGCTCGTCCTCTCTCACTTCTCGATTCCGTCGTCGCCCTCGACTCCAACTAGCCCGCGAGGTACTGGCATCATCACTATCGCCAAACCCCGAAGACGCCCCTCTCCTTTTCTTCTACCGCCTCGTCTTCCTCTTTTTACCCCTCGGACGTAGTCCGGCAGCTACGGTGGCGAACGTCGGCTTTTTTTCTTTTTCTTCTTTTTCTTACCGTCTTGCTCTGTCGACGGGTCCACCTTTGAGCTATCTCGTGGTCGTCAGTCGAAAAACTTCCGAAGGATGGATGGCAGAGGAGTGCCTACTCTCGTACACACAACACAACACGCACACACGCGTTATAGTCGAGTGCGTCATCGAACGTCGTAGCCAGAATCGACCGCGATCGACAGCTGAAAGTTGTCTACCGACAAATGTATCCGCTTGGCTCTTGGTACCGGATGCAATAGCAACGATACATCAACTCGGCGACCCAAACCAAAACCCCCCCGTGCTCTTTGATGTCACCTATTTGCTAATCTGGATTTGATAATAAAGAACGCGCGTAATGTTAAGAAAAACAAAAGCGGAAGAGTCTCTTTTGATTGAGTTTTATTTTTACGATGATTACGAAGGCATGTAGATCAAGGTCGAACATTTGATGCGAAATCCGCGATCGAAATAATTAGATATTAGAATGCAAGCTCGGAACTCAACTTTACTTAATATTAGGATTTATTAATTGATGCTTGTCGCCAATTAATTATTCATAAAAAAGGAGAAGCTTTTCTTTTTTATATAGACTGGCGTTTATTTAATCTTAATAATAATCTTTTGTTTCCTAATATACAAACTATTATCCTTTATTAACTGCACAAATATTGCATTTTTTTTTTTCAAAAGTTTCACTTAACGGTTTAAGTAACATTTAATTGTCAGAATTTAATTATTTAAGTTTGAGTGATATTTTGTAGATAGACTTTAAGTGATCATTTTATTTTCTAGTAATCTTCATTGGCAACTTTGTTATTAATTGTTGATAATGTTGATAATATCACTAATGTGAATATACCATGTCAATATCTTTTTTCTAGAGCTGATGTTGCGCGGTTAGAAATTTTACCCTATATCGTGGCACATTTAAAAATATCTCTCGGCATTCCCGGTTCTCATCAGAATTCTATCTGGATGAAAAGTCAGGTAGCGACAAAATCGTTGACCGTTTGACGATTTTTTCACTATCACGAGCGCGTCGAACGTCATCATCATCTTCGCGAACCTTATTCTCGGTGATTTCTATCATTATTTATTTTACCAATTTTTTTTATTCGTGACGAAGGTATGTCATCATCTATTTTCTACCATTGCGCTTTTCACCGTTCGCTGAGCAGTCGTCCGGTCAACTGAGAAAGCATTACATTAAAACTGCATTAACGCAATCGTGCATTTAGCATCAAATATAATAATGTAACGAAGAAGTAAAATATCAAATTTTTTTGATCTTTTGGATTTTATCTCTAATTTTGAAATCTGGGTTTTAAGCGTCATCATGCTTTTGCAATTGTAATTTCGAAAATGTTAAGTTATTATCTGACATTTTATCAGAAGTATTAAATTTTTTGCACAAATCGTGAGTTTCTATGCAAAATTCTTCATGACTTTATATCTGGATAGCTAATAATCTGCTGCTTTCTTTCTCATTAGCTTTCACTACTTTTATTCAGCTTTTTAAAGCAGCTTTCGAACTTTCGAATGATAAATGAATTCCTTTTAGATAAGATTTATTTATAAATTAAATTTTCGATTATTATAGCATGTCGGGTGTTAAAGTGATCGATAAAATTTAGTTTTCGATATACTTTGTTCGTTTTAGTTTTCGATATACTTTGTATATTTCTTCGGTTTATCAGTTGCAAGTATGGATAGGCGAATTTTGTTACTTCAATTGTAGACGACTAACCGAAGCGTAACAGACGGCGGAGAGATGAGATTCGCCGCAAAATACGTGCGCACAGACGCAGAGGAGCGTCAGAACCGCGGGCGCCTTTATATTTAGAAGCCCGGGTCGCACCCGTATAAGGAGGCTTGTCGCGCAAAAGTCCTCTCTTTCTCCTCTCCTCCTTCTCTTCTTATCTTTTTCTTTTTTTTTTGTCTTTTTGTTGAAACTCATAAAAATCAATAAATTTAATTAAAGTTATAGTTGAAAAAATGATTAATTTTCAAACGTCTTGATTTAGTAAAGAAAATGCACGATATATACGTGTAAATATGTGAGTATGATATGAATATTATTTATATATCTTAGTTATTACGTATATGTGATGAAGTGAATTAAATAAATCTTTCGATGTATAGGATATTTCTATTCACGAGATATATGATAATTTTGACTTTTCTTTGATTGTCTAGAATCGCAAAGGTTTGAGAAAAGCAATAAGTTTTATCATATATTTGCAAAACGAATCCTCTGTTATTTGTTTTCTCATTAAATTGAATTTTCATTCATTCAGATTAACCCTTGCGAAAAGTTTGTTGTGTTGTTATTTTTTCTGAGACAATGAGAAGCAAATGTTGATGACTAAATGAACAATTTCGCGATTTAATAATAAACTTGTTAATCGTATGTGATCACAATATGTACATTTTGGCCAGGCATGTTCCACGTCATTATAATTTAAGATTTGGATGCGTTCCTAAAGACGCGTAGTGGATCACTCTTTTCCGTAAAAGATCACAAGGATGCCCTATTTATTTATATCTATATTTAGATAGAACCTTGCGCGTTTACCATCAAGTTCATAGGTTCATTTTGCCACGTATCTCGCGCTTAATTTGCGATTGTTTCTACTCTACTACTTACTACTACCTGTTAGAACATTGTTTAACTTCTTACTATATCTTTATATGTGCCATATTTCTGATAGATATAGTATGCGCTTTGTTAAATCCAGAGTTAGATAGTAATTAAAGTTAAAAGGTTAAAAATTAAAAGTTAACCAATAAAGTTGAAAATGAATAATTTTTAACTTAGTTTTAATTTTAAATGAATTAATTTATAATTTTAACTAATTAATTTTAAAACGCAAAGTTTAACTTGCTACTTAACTTAACTTTTTTCCTAAAAATTTTTCTTAAAAATTTATCTATGTAGAAGAAAAAATTGTAAAAAAAAAACGCACTCCCTAATAAAAAAAAGCAATATTTCTTTGTTATTTCATATAAACTTAATTTATAAATAAAATATTAAATTTTTGATGATCCATATTGTAATTGTTGTCGTGTGTGTGTTATCTAGAATATTTAATTTTGAAAAATTACGACGTTCTAATTTAATGTAAATAATGTTTTTTAAACTTAACTTTTAATTTAACTTAATTTTTTAACGCAATTTAATTTTAGTTACGTTACAGGAACAAAAAACTAACTTAAAAGTTAGTTTCTCGAATAAAATTAATTTTATAAGTCATTTTAGTTAAAAATAACTTAAAATAGTTAAAAAATAATATTAACTTATTCAACCCTGGTTAGATTTTTCTTAAATCTTTGCATGTGAAATTTGCATTGAAATTGTAACTCTTAATTTTCTATGTGCTTAATTATTTTAATTTTCCAGTGTGCGACGATGCCGACTTTATATAAATAATTTTCTAATAAGTAATTTTAATATCATCTTTGAACCAAAAAACTAAATAATGTTATATATTGTATACTATATTAGGCGCGAAAAATAGAAGAACACAAGAGGAAGAAGGAACGAAAGGCGCAAGAAAAATTAGAGCGCGAGAGACAAGAAAGATTGCGAAAAGCACGAGAAGCTGCCAAAGCTCGCGAGGAAAACACGCGGACTTCTCAAACAGATGCAGGCAGTACACCTCCCGGAGATTTTTATCAATTCCTCAAAGATCCTGATGTACTTCAAGCTTTTGAGGTAAGTAACGAGCGAAGGTCATAGTCTTTTATAAATTAAAAATCCAAGCATTTTTAGAATCTCTTTTGGAAAATATCTGACATGTCACATGCTATTTAATTTGACTGTATATCAATAATGCGATTTTTTCATATTAAAATTCAATCAATTTTAATATACGAGTATATATAAAACTTAATTTTAATAATGATTTAAATTAAATTAAATTAAATATAATTTTAGTTACATTTCAAAATATTAAATAATGCATATATATATATAATTTTTGATAAATTCAAATTATCAATTTTAATTGTATTTTAAATTTAACAAGAATAAATTAGCTTCCAAATAAGAAAACGACAATAGATCACGCTTTAATGAATAAGTTATCAAATTGACAGAGATTGGGATATAATTTTTATTAATATTTCGCGATGAAAATAAACAAATGTGCAGGATCCAGAAGTGGCGGAGGCCTTCAAGGATATCTCCACGAATCCGACGAACGTCCTTAAGTATCAGAACAATCCCAAGATAATGGCCCTCATCAATAAGATGGCTTCAAAATTCAGTGGTGCTGGCGGCATGCCGGGCGCTGCCGGAATGAATTTCCCAGGTGGTATGCCTGGTTTCCCCGGTGCCGGGGCAGGTCACTTTAACCCCCCGAAATCATCTCCTCAGGATGACGTTGGTCTCGATTAATCATAAATCTAATCACCTATTACAATAAATACGGAGTGTATTACATCTCGATTAACTCCCTCATTAAAGGCTGATTTACGTTTAATTATATTTATGTTGCAATGAACTATGCTAAAAAAAACTCATTAAAAGAAATTGATAATTTAAAGGATTCTTTAAATATAAAATTAATTTTAGTGCCAGCAGGGTCCCAAAAATTCTACATTTAATTCTTGTTCCTTGAGATAATCTTAAGTTTGATTTTTAATTATTCATTTGTAGTATTTCTACTCAAGTTTCTCAAATCGGATTATTCTACTTTTCACGAATTATTTATCACGTTTCTTGAGATTACTAAAAAGTTTTTATTGAAGATAAATTATCGAAATCATGGTCGAAATGGTCGCCTTTAATGAGTTGAAAAGCGCTGGCATTTGTTTATCTCTTGCTCTATACATAAAAGTATGTGTGTGATATGTATGTGTGTGTGTGTATATATATATATATATATATATAT